GCGACAAGCTGAAGATGGTGCTGTGGCAGAACACTCAGATCTGGGACAACAGCAACCATCACAGCACCTTCAGCGGCTTCCTGCTCTTCTCCATGTGAGTCATACGGCAACAGGAAATACCTACTGCGACTAGTACAGCCAACACCGCTATAACTTCAATCACGACCTCACAGTATCACGACTACAACACCACCACTTTTACAACCACCACCACTACCAACAACACTACAACCACTTCCAGGTAAAAGGTCTTCAAGAAACTCAAGCAAGTCTCTGTACTGGGACATACTAAATCATTTCTGGCGTGCTATATGGATGGTAGTATGGTTACTGGAACGCACAGATACAGTGTGAATTTCCCGTATGGCTCCTTTAAGGTGTGAAGGAATCTTCTAAACACGGACACGTGTTTGTGTCTTTGTTTTAAAGGGTGGACGAAGCTCCGACAGAGTTTGACGCTGAAGCCGAGATGAGGACTCTTAAGGCTTCGCTGACGCAGCTTCAGACAGAAAACCAGGGTGAGACTTGGCTTCGTTCCTCAATGGTTACTTCACACAAGGCTCGTCTGTGAGCGGAGTTGTTAAAGTCCATCAGTTGACTGTGGCTTTTTGTGAATCTGTGTGTTTGTAGGTGTCAAAGAGAGACTGGAGACCACAGAGAGGGAGCTGAAGGCCATGACAGGTCAGTTACTAAATACCTTCAACGGGATCTAAATGTTCTGACACTTCGGTTTAGAAGAAGCTGTGGACATAAATCAAACTGAAGTCCTCTCAAACAGATGAGCCCGTTTTCAGCCACAATAAGATGAGTTAGGATTTAACAGCATCAGTAAATTAAGGTGGGCAGACGGCTGCACTGAGGCACTGTTCACTGGGTTTTAACTGTGGTGAGGCAGCGCCCTCTTCTGGATATTATCAGCTCTTACAGTTACAGTTACAGTACAAAAACTCATCATGTGCAATATCATTTTCTCACAATCATGTGCAACATTCTCACTGTTATATCATACACAATATAACATTGATTATCAGGCGCAGTCAGAATTTCTCCACCATTTTAGTTAATTTTTAGTAACTCTTGCACTGATCTATCTCCTGCTGTTACTCTGTTAGGCACTGGTTTTTGCTTTTGCTCCTTGAAAACACTTCTTATCTTGTAAGTTTGAATAGATATTTAAAACTTTATTGCTTTTAAAACCGGGCCCAGTGAGTGACCCTTTGCGATATCTAAAGTTCTACTGAATTGAACTGAACAATGACAAAACTTAAACCATTTTTTTGCGCTATATACTTAAAAAAAAAAGGACCTTAAACACACAAAACAATTGTTTCATTCTATGCAGATACTTTGTCATATATCTTGTTCAATTTAAACATGAAGACAACACAAAGGGGACTTTTAACTTTAAACACAAAATGGCATCTCAAAATGGCACCAAATTGCGACACTGGCTTGTTACACTTTCCATATCTCAGATTCTGACAACGTTAGAGGCCTTGAATAATTCTAGGGACTGTCCTGGGTCCCAAAACCACCCATTTTGCACTTGGTTTCCATTTGAAAAGGGCAGTAATGAAAAATATAACATCTGTTTGTGCCTTTCAATCATTTGGATCTGTGTTACACCGTTTCATCTCTGCCTCTACCAAATTCCACCGCTCTCTTTTATGTCTGAAGATACTGAAACAACAAAAAAAGGCTTTTCACCTGAGCGATTTTTAGGGGGCAAAAATGGAAAAACAATGCAATTTGCAAAATTCAACCAAAATATTTCATGAAAGTTATTTTGGACCTCAAAAATCCTCTCAATAAGGTTTGAACAAAATCTGAAATGTGAACAAAAATCTGACCCGATGTTTGTCTGCGTTAATTTGAATAATCTATAAAACATACTACTAATAGTTTATGCTGGAATTAATTTTTCTGGGGAACTTAAAACTGTTCACAGGGAAGTCTGTGGATCTCAAAATACAGACAAATAGAATGGATGGATATGATTTTAACCAAACTTAAACTGCTCCTCAGTTTCATTTTAGCGAAGCTGTTAAAAGACCTTTAGTTTTAGTTCAAACTCACAGTACACAGAATATATTTCACACATTTTAGAAATTCCGTTATCTTAAAGTTTTCATTTGTTGTTGGGTTTTTTTGTTGTTGTTCTCCAGAGGTACCAAAGGTGGCGTTTGCAGTTTCTCTCGGCGGTAACGGTCTTACGAAGACCACATCAGGAAGCCAAAGTCTCATCTACAAAACCATCCTGACCAACATCGGGCAGGCGTACAACCCTGAGACAGGTCAGTGCCAACAAATGCTCACACACACCATCCAACATATGTTACTGTCGCCGCTACACCTGTTCATCTGAAAACCACAGTTTTCATATTTCACAAAGAGCGACGATACTTTCTAAAATAAAAAGACTCCAAAATGCTCTGAAGAATAAACTCAAAAATCTTGTTTCATTAATTTTTAACTTCGCTGTCTGAAATATTAAACTGTGTTGAGTTTTAAAATATCAACTGTAGCATGAAAGAAATGTGAGGAGTGTGTCAGGGTGGTTTAGTTGAGCTTAAAATATTTTTTCCTCATCTGGTTCAGGTTTTATTCAGGGTCTCACACACTTAGATTAGACACACTCTCAATAAAAATCAATTTTTTTATTACTGACAGTTGAGCTGAAGAAAAATTTTGACTTCTCTCTACAGTCGCTCTCAGAAACAAATGTTGCATCATCAAAGCTCAACAGGAGCCTGTCGGTTATTCAAACTGAAACAACTTTCTGTGACTTATATTTTTCTTGTGCTTCACTTATTTTGTCCCTCCTCATCTGCCATACATCACTGTTAATTACCGCTTTCTCCCCCAGGTATTTTCACAGCACCTACTCGTGGAGTCTACTACATCCGCTTCACAGCCAACGCTCCCACCAACTTCCCCATGAGCGCTGTGCTCTACAAGAACGGCGCTGAGATCATGCTGATCGCTCACGAGCAGTCATCCGGCGAGGGCAGCGACACGGCGTCTAATGGAGCCGCCCTGCTGCTGGAGAAGGACGACACGCTCTCCATGCAGCTGTGGCACAACACTCAGATCTGGGACAACAGCAACCACCACAGCACCTTCAGCGGCTTCCTGCTGTTCCCCATGTGAGGACCAACTGACAAACACTGACACTGCTGCTTTAAACGTTTACCTCAACTCGCTGTGAAGACCTCTAACCATCATCTGAGAGGAGGAGTTATCTCTGCTGTACAGTCATGTGCACGTAACATCACCAGTGAGACCTCAACATGTCCATTTTTTAAAAGTTTGACTGGTTAAACTTCTCTGCAAAGGAGCTGTTAAGTCCAAATAAAAAATGAAACCAGTTTGTTTCTCTCTTTTGATCATTTCACACCCAAAGGCTTCATGTGTTCATTTATGGCTGCACCATTAAAGCTAGGATCTGCAGCTCTCCCCTCTCTGTCCTAAGCCCCTCCCACCAGATGACCACGGGGATATGCATGCACGTCATTCAGTAACTCGTGTTTCCTATACTTTGATTTATTTAGTCTCATTTTATTGTAGAGTTGAGTGCAGCACATTCACTCAGTATTAGCTGCAAGCCACCCCACAGTGTTTCCACCTCGCTCCCCGCCTATGAGGACTTCTTCCCCTGGCGGAGAGCAGGCAGCAGCTCAATAGACGGACCTTTGGTCGATGGTGGTATCAGCTTGAAATCAGCCAGCACAAACCATGCAGCGTTGGGTGTCACATCAGGCTGGTGGCCAGCAACAGTGCCAGGTCTAACCTGTGAAACAGCAGCAACAGAAAGTTTGCTGGGGAGTCGGGGCTCCTTCAGAGCTCAGGTTTGTGCTGGCTGGATTCAGGTTACTGCAGCCGCTAACTGGGGCTCCGTCTCCGCAGTTGCTGTCCGCTTTCCTCCCAGAAAGCTGGTCTGTTGTGGTGGCGAGTGCGGCGGAGGACTCACTTTGAGTCGAGGCTCTAACTAACGATAGCTACATAAACGTGAACTTGAAGTTGCAGCCATGAGCCTTTGGCTGCAGTTAGCATGAGGCTAAATTATTAGCAACATTTTCCCTCCATCTCTGAAACGCTTTGCTGATACTGACCCATGTTTTATTTCATTTGTTGTCAGACTCTCTGTTGAATCAGTTCGTCTTCCTTTTTTGGGTTTCTTTGCAGTGTAGGCAGATGTTGCCAATGCTGGAACAGCAACTTTCTCTGCAGGATTCTCCTCCATTCAATCAGGCTTTCATCATCTGAAGAAAGTGGATGCACATGTGCATCTGTAGAACAGCCAATAGGAACACCCTCTCTCTGAAATGACCTGTGATTGGCCAGTGTCCTGTCAAGAGCTAGATATTCTAAAGGCTGAAAACAGAAGTGTAGTTTTCTCTCAGTCCACTTTAATTACAATATGCACAAAGGCTATTGTCCGATTGTTTGCCCAGTGACTCCAAAATTAAATTGCCTGCCCACCTTCAATCACTCTATACGTTTTGTGCATCATTTTACATGTACACTGGTATTTCTTAAAATATAGCTTTGCCTGTGTATTTTGGTGTTTTGTCAACATGCAAACTGCTGAACAGTGAAAACAGACATTCTGTAACACTCATGTTCAGAAACTCTGTTTTCAGTGCTGATATGTGCACTATAATTATTCAGATTACAATCACAGAAGACAAAAATAGCTGGACATCCTCACATCGTAGAGGCTGAAACAAGGTTGTTAGTATATTATTTAGTTTACTGTTATTTTTTGGCTCTGAATGAAAACAGCTACAACATCATTATTAACTGTATTGTCTGACTCTGATGCTGCTGGTCTCACCACATCATCAGAGACATGACAGCAGATGTCGACAGTGTCTAACATCTTTTCCTCGCATTTTAAAACTCAAAATATTTCCAGGAAGAAACGTCAGTTATGATATAATCAGGTGGGAAATGGAGCAGGTTAAAAAATAAGGATTTTATGTAATTGTTACAAAACATTTTTTCCATCACAAAAAGCCTTTTTAATCCTCAGACAAAAATATAAAACAACAGAAAAGTCTCAGTGAAAGCTCCTGAGAACAAATGCACAATCCCTCCAAAGCCAATTACACAGCTGATCCAAAAACACAGGAACCAGGATTATCCCCATGAAAAGAATAACACAACCTCACTGGTCAGTTTCAGCTCTTACTTAACTCAACACACACCTCTTCACTGACTGACATATTTCTCTCCTGCAGGAGGAGTCAGAGCTTCATGAGGAGACTGAAGTCCAGGAACAGTGCAGTTCATTAACATCCACTCAGTTACTGCTCGTTTATAAAACAGTTACTACCTGACAGTGGCTTTGTTCAGTTCCTTTGGTTAAAGGTCCAGGTTATAATATAATCAGCCTTTTCTTTAGAATAAGACTCGTTGCGTTTTTGTCATCTTAGAATGAGCTGTTTATATCCACACAGGGAGCAGGTCCTCGTCTACAGAGATCACCATGTTGCACCACCATGTTTCTACAGTAGCTCAGAGCAGACAAACCAAACACTGGCTCCTAATAGGAACATTTGCTTTTTTACAATTATGCAACGGCCACCATAGTTAGCAACCCCTATGCAACAAACAGCTTTGGAAAAACACTAGATGCCACTAGACTTTTACTTTTCTGGCCGAGACAGGGAGGCTCAAGACCACTGCAGCCACTGCTGTCGAGGTTTGACAAGATCTAGAGAAAAAGAGACATCGAGACATTTTGTCACTTCCGTGCAGAAAAACCATAAAATATCCAACTTCATCCAGTTACGATGCCTTTGCAGTTTTGGGAGTTTCAGAGCATCTTAACCCCTCAAAACATGAGACTCTTTTCATGAAATAATAATTAACAGAGCAATGTCAATAAGGTCCTCGTACCAGTCGATGCTGAGGCTCTAACATCTGTCTACTGATGTTTCCATGTTGAGGTGAGTCGACCAGCTCCTTCATCATGAGACAACAGAGTGTGAACAAGAAACCAGTCAACAGCTCACTGTTCAATATAATCACACCTGAATGTGTGAAACAAACCATCACTGATTCTGTTACGCTCACATGCCGATTCAAGTTATATTAGTAACTTCTTGACTGGCACAAATTTGCTTCCAATGATTCACCTTTGTTAAAAATTCACATTTTACATTTATTTCTTGGTTTGGTTTATTCCCACAGACAGGTGACTTTACAAAGAATGATTTGCAGCTGGGTCTGATTCACAGAAGACATCGTACTAATGATATTTATCGGTAAACGCCCACAGGGTTTTGCAGATGAGTGTAATTTGCCCCTTCTTGTGTCTAAATATTCATGTGGGAAAATCTAAATGTTGCTTCTTTGCCAAGAACACTTGATGACAGAGAAGAAGAAACGCCGCAGGTCCTGACTGACGAGTTCCACAAAACTTGAGACAGGAATTTAAAGGTGACAAACAGAAACAGTATTTGGGTCAGTGCAGGTGTGACACTTGATAATAATGTGCTTCAGTTCCCACCAACTCTGAAGATGCTGATAATTCCTCTGTGACTGTGTGTGGCTGTTAGAGCGGATCTTTGGGAACTGGAATGTTTTTGTAATGAGGCTCATTTGCATAGAACTTCGCTCCAAATGTTTTACCTCATTTGCATACACATAGCAAACAGCACAGGAGCAGTTCGAGGTCATTCAGCCTTTGTTGCTATGAGAATTTGTTGGTTTCTTTCTGACTGTTTGTGCAGGTTTAACAGTCGCTAAGCTGCTCAATCATTTCATGAATTCGCCCGAGTGTCTGTTGCAGTGTAAATTTACTTATAGAAGTTAATCTCACATGAAACCAGCTGCCTCAGCACTCAGTATCGATGCACTCACATGACAGAGGGACAGAGATAAATACTATTTCTGTCACTATGGAGGCTGTTAGAGATGTGAAATTTAGAACCTCTGTAAAAACAGTAGACATGACAGGAGTTTCTGTGGGAGCGGGACAGGAGTGAAGACTCCTCTAATGTGCAGGTTCATCAGACACACACAGGAAACAGGTATACCCACAGGAAGTGGAGCCTGACTCACCTGCAGAACTTGAAGAGGATCTTCTCAAAGACTAGAACCGGACCGGTGCTGCCCAGGATGGTGAGAGGCTGACCGGCAAACATGGAGTAGGCCACGCCTGTCAGAGACGCCCCGAACAGAGACTCTATGGCACTCTACCAGAGACAGAGAGGACGGTTTCGTTAGTGATGGACTGATGAAGCGTCTCGTTAGAGTCTCTCTCGGTTCTGGTTCAGGTTCTTACTATGTTTCCTTTGGTGGCTTCTCCCAGCAGACCTCCGAACGTGATGACGGGCGACATGCAGGCACAGTAGAGGAAGAGGACGGACGCCAAACACTGCAGGCTGAGGGCGTCTCTGATGTCACTCCACAGGAAGGGCGCTTTCCTCCGAATGTCGTTCACCAAACCTCCAAAGATCCTGACATACACAAGGAGAGATTCACCAACGCTCACTCCGTCTCTTATTAAGATCATTAATAAGCCGAGTAATAATGATAAAATAATACAAAATAAACAGCAATTATATAAAGAGAGGAGAGTGTTAATGTTAAATGGAAAATATGAATGTTAATAAAATTATGGACAATAAAAAGAAAGAAAACAGTGACAAATACCCAGAAAAGCATCAAATCATCAGATGTGAGAAACTGACACCACAGAATGACTCCAGGTTTACTGATAGATGACTGTAATAATCAATCAGTAACATGTTTTGATTACTGTGCTCCTGATCACCTGGTAGAACATCACATGTGATCTTTACACAGTTCAGTGACACAGACTCACCTCCCTGTCCTCTGCAGCTCTGGTCCTGTGTCATGCTCCGCCTCCTTGAAGAGGTCATAGCCGTGAGCAGAGCCGTTCGGGGCCGACGGCATCTTCCTCTTCTCCTGCAGAGAGAGAGACAGGAAACAGAGAGCTGAGATCAGGACAGACAGGACGTCACTGTGCTTGAATTTCACACCAGAGATCACGGTGGATCTGACGGGACGCAGGTTCAAGGGAGGTCTCACCTGAGACGGGACGCTCTTTGGGGGTTCGATGCGGATGGTGGGGTCCCACTCGCCTGGAGGGAGCACGGTGACCTGATCCAGGAACTCATCGATCCCTGAGAGCAGGTCGGTCCTGTCCTTCGCCTTGTAGGCAACATCGTGGAAGATCTACCAGAGACAAATGTGAAGGTTTTTACATCCTGCTCAAACTGTGCAGCTCCTCATTTAACAACACACAGCATCTTCACACAGCTCCCTCTGGACACACTACAAGCTTAATACTACCTTTAAAACATACACACAGAAGAACACCAGAGATCACCTCTAACTTATTTTAGTATTAATCCTCTCAACGACCCTGAGGATGTCGTGGTTTAAATGATCTTTGTGTGGTCTCACCTCGTCTGTCATCAGAGTGGCGATGGAGCGTCCGATCTCGTGGTACTGCGCACCTTTTCCAAACGGACCGAGCAGGAGGAAGAGAAACCTGGAACGAGTCGGAAACAAATCCAACAGAGACAAACTTTAATCCTCAGTAACATTAAATCACCGTCACCAACATGAGCAAAGAATTAATACACTGTATGTAACATGATTTAACCCTGCTTGTAAAGTACCATGTATTCACATTTCACTGTTAAAACAGTTGTATTTGGCCACATGGGGGCAGCAGAACAAGCTGGGAACAACAATCACTTCCTGTTCGCGCCTCCAGCAGAAACACAGCAACATCAGAATGAACTGTTTGTTACAGCAACAAGAAACTAAAGAAGTCATTCTCAGGTTTAATACAAAATGAACTGAGGTGCCCTGATGTTCCCCGTGTGTGTGTGTGTGTGTGTGTGTGACCAGCTGTTAATACGTGACTGAACCATGACACCTGAACCTTTGGTTGAACAAGGCTCTGATGAAATTCAGCTGAAAGCTCAACATTTGTGAATCACTGAGTTTAGATTCTCTCAAATGTGTCTGTTTAGATTTGTGACTGTGACACTGGCTCAGGTGGAGGAAGTAATGATACCTCAGAGTAGAAATACTGCCACAGGTAAAAGTCCTGCATTCAACATCTTACTTCAGTAAAAGTATCCAAGTACACGTGTTAAAATATACCTGAAGTACCAAGTAGACGTATGAAGTAGCAGAAAATGGAAATATTCAAGTACAAGAACCTCAGAGTTGTATTTAAGTATAGTGCTCGAGTAAATGTACTTTCTACTACTGCACTCTGGAGCTCATGATAACATACTCTGTGTTTTCATGGGTGTGTGTGTGTGTGTGTGTTCACCTGGTGGGCACAGGGACCTCTGTGAGGCCGGTCAGCAGCATGGCGGGAGAGAGACGGATGAAGGCGATGATCGGTCGCTCCAGGAAGTCGACTTCACCCACCAGGACGTTGGAGGCTTCTGCACCGGGAGGGATCTTCTTCATGAAGTTCATATCCACCTGAAACACACACACACACACACATACACACACACAGGATCAACCACACTGTGACTTCATAACCTAACACCTGTAATAAACACTGCAGCCTGCAGGGGGCACCAGCAGCACTCTGGTTCCTCACAAGTATGGGTCTCCTCCTGCTCCTCCTGCTCTGTTAACAGTGAAGTGTCGCTGTCACACAGCTCAGGTGAGTCACTGGTGTCAGGTAACAGCAGCAGGTTGAGTTTCTTCTGATCTGATCCTGAGCTGACGACTCAAACTACAGTCACTCTGATTTTGAGCCCATTTCCACCAATGTGACGGTGAAATAAAGATCCTGTTCATCATTAAAACAAGAAACTCTCCAGACAATAATGACTTAATACCTTAAACTCATGAATAATTATCTCAAAATAATTCCCTAGTATGGCACAGTAAGTAATGGGAAGCATTCTCCACATGTGGACTCGATGTCTCAAAACAGGTCTTAGTTAAAATATTGAGAAAGTCTCTCATTATTTCAAGATACTAAGTTATTAATTCTAGAAGGTTCGTCATTAAAACGACTCACAGGATCTTTTTTCTTCATCACTTTGGCAGAAACTGGAAATTTCAGAAACCTGCTGCTTCACCTTTAAGTCTCAGACATGTTTGTTTCAGTCTGGTTTTCAGTTTGACGCAGTGACTAACAATTTTATTAATTTCATTCACTACTTCAATTAATCTGCAGACTGTAATCTGAACTAATGACCTAATCCTTCTGTCTAAAAAATGCCACTGAAAAAAGCCCTTTCAAATCTTGTTTTGTCAAACCAACAGTCCAAAACAATAATACAGTCAGTTAACTGACACACAAAAAAAGATTAATTATTTAAACATAAAACATTATAAAAAAGTGTAAATTAATTTCCTGTCGATTAACTAATCAATTAAAAAACTACTGACTGCAGTTCTGGCTCAGTTTAGAAAGTACTGTAGGTCTGTCTGACTTTCACCAAACTTCAAGGCGTAATAACAGCCAACACATGGAGATTATTTTGTCGACAGGACTTTATCCTATTTATTGATTATTGATATCTGTCTGGAATACGTGGGGCTCCATGCAGGAATGATTTACGAGACACAGAGATCCACAACGACACGTTGATGCAGCATTCAAATGAGATCAGCTGACAGATCCAGCTGAACCGTCGTCACAAACACTGACACGTCACAGCTGATGGAGTCAAACAACAACACACATGAACACAGAGCATCACCACAAGGAGCGACAACACAGGCCACTGATTGGTCGACAGGCGAGCAGACTTACAGCAGGCTTTCTGCCGGCCGGCAGCAAACAAATACAGTCGCAGTCCTGCTGAGAGACAAACGAGTCATCGTCCAGAGCACAAACACAGCTTCTGATTGGCTCCCAACAACCAATTAACAAAACTCTAACTAGTCCTGAAGTCACATGACTGACAGCAGCGTGTTTATTGGACGGTTTTGGTTTGAATTTCAAGTGTTTCTTACTAACAAATGTTGAAATAACATTACTGTGATGTCACTGTTTAAATTAGGGATGCATGATATTAGATTCTTTACTGACATCTAACATAAATCCACTTTTTTGGCCGAAAACCGATAACTGATATTGACATATCCACTTTTTCCCACCTGATTTCAGTGATCATCATCAAGTCTCTTCTGTAGTGGAATTAACATCATATTAAACATACATACTCTTATCATGACGGCCCACCAGCTGATGGAGACATGAAATACTGTTCAGAGTATGTAATATTCATTCACTGTGCAAATTAAGAAAAAGCATGTTGGCTGATTCTGACAGTTCATTTTAAAGCCGATATTGTCTGATATCTATGACGTGCCCATATCATCATACACCCCTTCTCATGTCGTTTGGCTCAGTGCTGTTTGAACTCTCACTTTTTTATCTCTAAACTCTAGTACAGGTCCCAAAGATACCAAATCAGCAGATAAACAGAGATCTGTGTGGGTACATGAGACCCTAAAAAAGAGGCTGGATCATGGGGAGTACCACCAGTTGGTCCAGGAGCTTCTCCTCCATCATGGACGTTTACAGGCATATTTTAGGATGACTCAGGGGCAGTTTGACAACCTGCTGTCTATCATCAGGCCGTATAGCTCTGGGTATCCAGCAACCACTACCACCAGTTTCTCCTCCATTGTTTACCAACTGTAAACTTGTTGTCATGACCACCACAGAAGGCCCGCCTCTCAAATCATCTGATTGGACAATGGGGAAAAAAGGTGAGATGACGTGGGGAGCTTTTCTGCTCTGAGTTGAAGTTTTTCAATTTGAGTTCAGAGCGCTCCGGCAAAAACGCAAACACAGCGAGCAAAAAGCTTCATTCTCATTAAAAACTTTTACAAAAAGCCGCCTCCAGCTGCTGAAACACTTCCTGTGTGATCGGGGCCTTAGCGAGGTTTGAGCCAGCACTATTTCAGCCATGTTTGCCATCACACAAAACGTCGCCTCGTTTGTGCAGCCTAACAAAGTCATCATCATGTCATCAGATGATTTACAGTGGGTGGTTTCCCCCATTGATGATTTAACTATAATAACAAACAAAACAACTAAAATACAAACCAACTCTCTGCTTTCTGCAAAGTAGGTGAAAGCACTGTCTCTGTTTCAGTGAGACTGCAGCGGTGGAACAGACAGATACAAAGCCTCCAGCTAAAGCCAGCAGTGCGCTGTGTTTAAGGCCCGAATGATTCATTTTGTTAATAACTGATCTGCTGATTATTCTTTTGGTCTGTTAAATGTCAGCAGAGAGTAAAAATACGTCCATCACAGTTTTTCAGAGCCCAAGACGACCTCTTCAAGATGTCTCATTTGTCTGATCAACAGTCTGAACACAAAGAGATTCAGATTATTATGAAGTAACAGGAAAAACAGAAATTTTCAACGTTTTATTTTTTACTCAAACGATTTAATCAAGTACAAACACTAATTCTCTGTTGACTGATTGATCAGTATATGGACCACTTGTTTCAGCCATGTGTCGGCCTGTTAGGGAACTTACATTCCTGTTATGTTGAGTTCACACCAAACGCTATACAAATTTTCTTTCAAAGAAGAGCGGGAGGCGTGAGCAGTCTTTACCTTGCTGAAGTCCACAGTGCTGTTCTCCCGGCTGCCTCCGTTTCCTCCGATGATGCGACTGTCGATTTTGCTGTCGAGGTTTCCAGGAGCCGACTGAGGGGACGCCAGCAGACCTGCAGAGACGAGAAGACGTCGTCCATTTACACATGTGACAGGACAGAAACATGAGCTGATGGCGGACAAAACTCTGCTTAGCGTTTGGACTGAATCTTTCAGGTGTCTTCATGACTCATCTTCTGGGGCAGACGACCACCTGCTGCTGGTCTCAGGTAACCTGCCTCTTTGTTTTCTGACACGCTTCAATTCTTCATTGGTGCTGCTAAATTGTTTTGAACTCAACAGGAAACATCAGTCTCCATGTCTGCCCGCCTCGCGGCCGACAGGCCCTAAAATTTGATCAAACAGGCAGAAAACGACAGTGATCGTCAGCTGGCCGCCCTGTGGGCCACATCTGGGACACAGAAGATTAATGGATTCAGAAAATGTGAAAAGTAACGCCAAAAACAACGGAGATGGAAATCAGGACTGATTTGCTGACTCCAAACTCATGTGTTTGACCAGTGGGTACTAAAGACGTTCTAAAATACATCTGTCAGCTCATTATTCGTGAGCAAGTACTTGCACGTGTCTTTAACTGATGACGTTTAAAAGCAGCAGCTGATCCACGGCTAAAGTCCCCTGTTCTTTTTGCTGCATGTTTTTCCACAGCAGGGCAGGTAGAAGTTGTTCACCTGTTGGAGGTGAGCTGTTTGCAGAGATGCAGGAAGAGCCTGTTGTCTGCAGCTCTTCATCAACATCTTACTGTGGCTGTTTCTGCTTTCACTCTTCCTCCCTGCTGTACTATTAGACTTGTCTTTATTGAAGAGAAGCTGCTGACAAAGTTCTGCTAATTCAGTGATAAACACATTTAACTTCCTGTTGACTCTTCACAATAAAAGTCCCCTGTTAATTTATTATGTAAAACTTTATTGTGAAGCAGCAAAATAAGGAAATTTTGAGTTTTCGAGCAGCAACTTCACACAACTTCTGATACGGCTGATAGCGAACATGAAACAGTAAAATAAAGCAGATATGTAAAGTAAAAACAGAATGCGGGAGAGAAACTCCAAACCACAGAGGTTCAGTTAGAAGCTACAGACGTACTGAGAGCTGAACACACACAGACTTTTAAAGATGCCTTTCTCTCTGGTCTCCTGCAGACAGAGGTGAGGAGAGTCTCACAACACACACTGCTTGTTTGGGGAGAGAAGGCGGGTTGCTGGGGGTTGGTGAGATTTCACTGCAACTTGAAACTGTTTGAGGGCGGCCAGGCTTTTGGACCAACATGAGAGAAGGTTCATCTCTGGTGCAGCTCGGCGCGTCTTAACTGATAATGGAAACACAAATCGGTGCAGCATGGCTTTGCTCTGCACACACTGCCTCCATCATTTTGTATTTTAATCTTCAATCTGTTTTTAGAGTGACTCAGTAACATCTGTACTCTGTCCTGGACCACAGATGAAAAACAGAAACATTTATTAATGTGTCCCCGTTAAACGAACTCAAACTGAGCTGCAGGTTTTTTAATGATTCCTGTTTGTCAGACTGCTGAGCTGAAACAAATTTTCACTGCTGAGTCTGAAGCTGCTAATTTAAACCACATGACGGCCGAACGCTTTAACCTAAGACAGCACACGAGACTGAAGACACACACACACAGTTAGTGTGACATCACAGCCTCGTGTCCTGTTACAGTCCGTGAAATGTAACTCCATCTGACTTTAACCTTTGAATGTAGAACGCTCAGTCTGATCGATGGACATATTTTTATATTTTACCGAGAAATGTTTTTAGAGCAACATGAGTCTGAGAAGATCAAAAATGAGGAGGAGCTCCAGTGGTCTGCTGCTGACAAAATCAAGTTCTACTGACTTAAGGATGTTTTTGATCTGTTTGTTTAAATCAATTCTGTGTTTACTCCTCTTTTAATACTGGTTATATCTGCCTCTAATTTTATGCTTCTCTATTTATCCATACTTATTTCTGTCTTTGTGTTGCTGCTGCCTGATTTTCCCCTCTGGGCTCATCTCATTTATGAGAACTGTGGCTGTTGTTCATTTCTATTAATCATTTCAGTCTCTATAACTGACTCTTACTCTCTTCACAGTTTCCATTTCCTCTCCATTAATTTCCTCTCTTAGTTAATATTTTCTGACTCACACTGTCAGCATGTCGCTTTGCATCATTAGTCGTTGCGCTCGCTGACTGCCTCCTGTTGATTTGGACTTTAAAGTTTCACACCTGTCAGCTTCTTCAGCACATAAAGTAACTCAGTGACGAGGAGTCAGAGGTCTGATGATGATGGTGATGTGTCAGCATCCTCATGTCACCTTCACAGATCACTGAAGATGAGGAACAGAGGGACTAACAGGAAGCTGTCTGACGAAACTCTCACTTTTATGTAACAGTGTGTTCACAGATACAAGTAAATACTCATCTCTGATTGGACAGTTCATTTCTCACATTGGTTTATTCCACCAGGTGTCTTTGGTTGTTTTAGTCTGAAGGAGCAGAGCCAGTGTGTTTGTGTGTGTGAACGAGGTGTAAAGGCGTCACAGTTTCCTTTGTTTTATTCTACTGTCTAATAATTTGTTTCTTCCTGTTTCAACAGAGGACGAAACACATCAGAGGAAGCTCGTCACTGTGGTGCTGCAGAGTTAATGGAGACATCATGAGTGTAGGAGATGTTTCTTAGGGTGCTTTCACACCTGCCCTGTTTGGTTCAGTTCAATCAAACTCTAGTTCGTTTGCCCCCTCAGTGCGGTTCGTTTGGGCAGGTTGGTCATTTCCCAGAGCCTGAGGCGGCATCTTTAGATGGTCTGTTTCATCTGACCAACAATCCAAAGATCCCAAACTATTCAGTTTAATATTATATGTGACAGAGAAAAGGATCAAATTAAGAAACTTAAGAAGCATGAAACCAGAAAATGTTTGGCTTTTTTTTAAAAAAAAAAAGAGGCTAAAACTATTATAGAGTGATTAAAGCCAATCAATTTTCTGTTGATCAACTAATCACTGCAGCTCTAACTGAGAGCAACACTTGTTAGCAGGAACTTCCTGTTCTCACACACGCACGCACGCGCACACGCACACACATTCACAGCTACCCAGTACAACCAGTCTGATCTGCTGGTCCCAGAGCAGCTCCACAGGAGCAGTGGGAGGTTAAGGGCCTCACTCTTAGTGCTGCTCATCTTCACTCTCTGCTTCAGCCCACTACAGCTGCTCCATCAGCTCCACCCTGAAGAGCTGAGCAGTTTTATTCTGATTCTATTTCTGTGAATGAAAACATGTCACACTCCACAGCTCAGTGTCACGTCTGAAGCCACACCATGCCGACAGATATTTGCCTGAGTGACTGTGAGGAAGCAGATGATCCTGTTTGTCCTCCGTCTTGGACACTTCCTCCTCTTCCTCTTCAGGGGGACAAACCACCACCTCGGGAGCAGAGCAGCGACGTGGGACTCCAGAGGCGACGTGGTCTGATGGGGGAGCGTCCCTGATGGCGGCGGGGAGGGAGGGGGTGGGGCTGGGTGGGCAGGGCTCAGACAGGAAGCGTCTGAACGGGAGGGACATACGAGGGGACGGAGGAGGGGTGGTGCCTTCAAAGGTGGAGCGATGGTGGGGGGAGAGATGAGAGGAGGACAGACCCTCCCCTGAAGAGGAGCAAGAGCAGAGGAAGAGAGGAAGGTGAAAGGACAGAAACATCAGGACGACTGCACGATGCTCATGCTGGTTTTTAAAGACGCTGACGGACGATGATTCACTTTTCTATCAGTCTGGTGGATATAATCAATCTAAGTGTCAGTGTGTGTGTGAGCTGATCGGTGACGCAGTGAATGTAACAAGATATTAAACGTGAGCATTTTTGATGATGGCCTCCGTCCAGTCCTTTGGTCTTATCACATTTAACCATAGTTGTCTTTGTTTTTGTTGACGGGCAGTGGCGGCTGGTTTTGCGCCATGACTCCTTCTATTCTGGCTCCCAATAACACAACAAGACAAACACATTTTTACACTCCTTTGGAGCCTACAGCCCTGTGGGGGAGAGGCAGCTGCACCTCCAGCTGATCACATAATGTCATTGTGACATCGTTGTTGTAGCATTATAAGAGAAACAATAGGGTGTGATAATGAGTTTGTTGCACTCTTTTGTCCCGGGGATGAACTCTTTTTGTCTCAAACACTTTTCCTATTGTCCCTGAGACGACAGGACGCTGTTAGCTTTGAGCCCTGCTTTGTAGCCTGCGCAAAATGTATGTGACGCAACAGAAAAACATCGGCCACTGCCATCGCTGAATGTCATCTAATTTGCAGACAGGCCTACGGCAGTCAAAAAGCTGAATATCAGCCCACACCGATGTTCAGCCGATAAATCTATGCATCCCTTTTTAATATACAAGTTCTTTAAAAGTGTGTTTGGTATTGTGTCTCATGTTTTCTCAGCTGATGTTCCTCTTTCTGATCACACAAGAAAAAAAGTTATTCACTGATATTAATCACTGCATTTTTAAACTTGTGAAACTAGTGTTTCGTCAGACAAAACAAAGTTAGTTGAAACCACATCAAGTGCAGGCAGATGTTAGAGATAAAACACTGCTGATAGAGAATTAGAAATGCCACACACACACACGTCTCACACACACACACACACACACACACACACACACACACACACACACACACAAACACGTCTTGCATCAGGAGGATTCCTGTGCGCTCTCTGCAGACTGACTTGCAGGTTTCAACATGACTGAGCTTCAGGTTATATCAGCAGAATCAGGACATTCCTCACTCACTCACAAGCAGGATTTATGAGTCCGGATATTAAAACTCTGACTCGTCAAACGGTATTAGCTGGTTATTAGCTCACTGACTCAGCAGGTCTGTTCAGGTTAGTGCTGACCACCAGGAAAAAGACCAGCCTGCTGCTGCCGACGGGCTGAAGGTAAATATTAATTAACTTTTCAGTTTCAGCTCATCACAGCTGCAGACGGGTGAGAATCAACACTGACAAACACTCAGTGACACTAATCAGCTGTGAGAAACGACAACATCTGGGTCAAAACTCAAATCACACACCAACACAACTTTTCTGTAACTCGACAGCGTTTCCATGCCGACACGATGCCATGCACCAATCAGAGACCCCATCCTCTTGTCACTCCGTTACCTCAACCAATCAGGAAAGATGAGACAAAAAACATTGAAGGAGTTCTTGGAAACAAAAACAGCAGAACTCACAACAAAGAGATGAAGAGCCAAGAAACACTCAAAGAGAAATATTATCGAAAATGTGCCAAAATCACAGGGAATATTCATTTAAATATAAAAATATTGTGACCAGAGAATTAAGTGGTTCCATCTGACATTTGTCAAAAACTTGTTATTCACATGAAACTATTATTAAGATGATTTTAAGAAAGAAAACGTTCTACTAAAAAAATTATTCGCTGAGATCTTAGTGCTGCTCTGTTACTGCGGTTAATGCCCAGGAGATGAAACATGTTGGAGGTGTTCTGAAACCTAAAACGTGATGATATTATAGACAACACTGTAAATAACAGTTTCAAATGCCACAGAAGCAGAGTCATTTTTATCTCGTTTTAACTCAAAGGAATGTTGATTTTTACCGTTAGTTACCACGCTGATCACCAGAGTCAGGTGGATTTCCAGCGGCACAAAATGTGTTTATTTACTTCAAAGTTCATGTGGTTTTTATATGAGACAACAGGAGACATGGCAGAGCTAGTCTTTTAAGAAAACCAATGATGTGCCAATATGACAACATTTGAAGCCGACCGGTCGCCTCTGTCAAGTGCTGTTTCACGCTGAACTTTAGTCGGATGTTGTTTTTCAATTTATATCTCTCACCGGCTTTGAAAGCGCCACAATAGACGAGGACCAGCTGATTCATTTAGCTGAAATGAGGAATTATCTGCACGATGCCTCCTTATGTCACTACAAAGTGAAAGTTTAGAGTAATTCATGTATTTTGAAATCATGAATGAGAGTTATTATTCGTATCTCAACTTACTTTAACAACTTTAGACATGACACCAAAAACTACAGTATGTAGGAGACAAATGTAGGTTTCATTGAACACTAAAGATTTTAGCAATGTGCTAACTTAGCTCTGCTCCAAAGTGGGTTTGTGACTGTTTATAACTTGAACATGTTGAAACTTATAACTTGTAGAAAGCTGAATTAAAAGTCAGTAAGTGGAACATGAGTACGGACTGTTTTGTTAACTTTATTACATGTATGACTCGAAAAAACTGAAAGTGAAAACCGTTCATTTAAAATCAAAAACCCTTTTTTAAAAATTGTTTTTACGGTCAGCTATCTTAAATCATAACTTTTATAAGTAATTAACCATCTATTTTGCACATAATAACAAAGTTTGACAAAATTATATAGATCTGTCTGAAGAAAAAAAAAAGAAATCACAGTCTTCTGTCAGCTCTCAGTGGAACCTGATAACTCCAAGGTCACCATGTGTCAAAACGTTCACACGTTATCTTTTCCTGTGAATCAACACAATCCACATGGGGACTAAAGACTCAGACCATCCTGCAGGTCTGCAGATTTCATATTTAATGTTTAAAAAAGTGAAGTGACAAGAGGAACCACGGTCTCACCGTTGCGTTCCAATAAAAGGGAGTCAGAGTGTTTCTTGCCGATGTCAGCGAAGGATCGAACCAGCGGGATTCGGTTGCTCAGCTTCTTCTCATTCTGATGGTGGTGACGCCTCAACATGGCCTCCTTCACCTTCTCTCGAACGCCCTCCTCCAGCTGACCTGAAGCCAGCATGCTGTCAATCACCATGTCTGCACGTGAGGAGGAACAACAGGTGGTTAGCCGACATGGTAAATATATCATTATTCAAATTAACACTCAGTCTGTTCGCACATTTCACACCATTCAGATCATTTTGACAACTCCTGAGTGAAATTCATCTAAAAACAGATTCAGGTAAGACTTCAGTCCAAGTCCTGGTTTAGTGCTGAGTAAAACCTCCACAACAAGAACTTGCTTTTGTTTCACTCTGCATCTATGCATCCAAGTGGACCACCATGATTTGTGGAGTTCCCCAGGGCTCAATACTCGGTCCTCCTTTATTTTGCATGCACAAATTAGACCACATCATGCAAAAGAATAAAATCAACTATCATTATTATGTAGATGTCTAAGTCTGTCTTACTCAGCCAATAACTCCTGCTCTGCTATGGTGGCATATTTTCAATAGTTTTTTAAACACTAAAATACATAAACAGTGTTTTCAGATTTTTCTACTCTGAAGTTCCCCAGGGTTCAATTCTTGATCCTCTTTGGTTTAAAATCAAATTGTTCTCTTTGGCCAAATCATGCAAAGCAATAAAATCAACTACCATTATTATGTATGTCTAAGCCTATCTCACTCTCACAATGACTCCTGCTCTGCTACGGTGACATGCCATGAAGCAACTACAGAACAGACAGAATAGATGAACAGCTCTGGACTACACATCAGCACAGTGTTTGTTAGCGTGCTGACCTGCAATCTCTTCGATGGTGTTGGCCCTCATGTCGAGCAGCACGGTGCCGTTCAGGATGCAGGAACGCAGCTCAAACAGACTGTGAAGGGACAGCGTGGCCACATACGGTTTACTCCAACGCTCACCTCCGTCTTCTACGTCCTCCTCAAACTTTAGCCACCTGAAAACACAACGAAGAGATTTAACGTCACATACTGGAGCACAGGTGCATTTAACAGCTTTGGTAGCACCCCTAAGACTGCACTAACGTAAAGTGTCACGTCAGGCCTGTTCTGCTGCATGAAAATATAATAATTCTTTCAACAAATGTGGCATTTCCTGTCACGTTTGCTGTTTCAGAGGCTTTCAGATCAGATTTACTCCGCAGGATCTGTTTAGTTTGGTTAGGATCATCCAACACAAGTTTCTCCTCCTCACTTCAGTTTGGCTCCTGATGTGAAACAATCCAGGCATGAAAAATAAAGACCAAACACATCTGTGCAAATCCAGTTTAGTCACACAGGCGTTATGATCACTTAGAAATATCAAAACAAATCCACTGGATTTATGAAGTGATTGTTCAGGAGCTGACAAAGACTCCTGCAGGAAGATGAAACAACTTCAACGCTCAGATGATAAATCCTGAAGAACAAAGGATTACCAGTGAAAGCATCGCCAGGTGTGTTATTCTGAATAAAGTATGTTATTATAAACACAGGGGAAGTCATGGGGATCATCTCAGATTAAATGCTCCAATAAAAGATAATTGAGCGTTCTGCAAAACAAAGCGTTTTAAAATCCTAAAAGAAAAACAAAAGAGGAAAACACAGCGAGACAAACGCTGCAGCTTCATCCTGAATAATAAAATGTTGTTGAGTGTGTCCCCACCTGGCTGTTTCCTTCCACTCCTGGAAGTCTCCGTCTCTGAAGGCGATCTCGTCCAGCTCGGTGAACAGGTCGTGGGGGATGTGCTCCTCGTCCCCGTCCTCCGTCCCGAGGATGAACTGGACTCTCTGAGATGGCGTGTCTGCAGGAACACAACAACTAACTCTTTATCGGGTAGATAATAATCAGTGTGTGCGTGCGTGATTAAATATTGTCACTGAAACTGGACGGACCATTCGAGGGCGACTCTCGTCCATCGTCCCGATCTGAGCGGTCCCGTCGTTTCCGGTGATGTCGATGTCCTCGGTGACGGTGACGCCTCCGAGTCTCTCTGCCCATAGGAACGTGAACGCCGACATACACCGCTCTGTGACCTGTCGGAGGGAAAAAGTCACTACACAGCCCAGTCTGAAACAATCAGGTAATTTTCTGATCAGGTGATCATCGTTTTCTAACATAAAAAACTTCTGTCAACAAATTGTCACATAGATGTCAGAGCATCACTGAAACAAAAGTAAAAACGCCTTCTAAATAATCCATGAAAATATATTTACATGTTGATATTCCAGCTTCTACTGATACAAATGATGAATACTACAAATGAAAAGAATATTAATCAACTTAGACAGACTACAGATTTTTGTGAGAGCATGATGATCTGCATCGACTTGAAGTTAATTTAAAGTTTGATTTTGATCATCCGGATGTTTTTTTGTTTTAACAGAAGCAGGTCTGTGTCAGATGGAGAAAATCAAATATTACAATGTTGTTTTGACCAAATACCTTGCTGTCTATTTTGCAACGATATTTTAGGATTGACTGCAGAATGGTGCTTTCACAAAATATAACACAATGAGATTTTTGATAAATAATCATCGGTAATGTGCATATAGTGCGGTAAGTTTAGAAAATGACACCATTTACTTTAAAGCAAAAAGAGAACACTTAGGATATTACCTTATCCAAAATCTGGGACAAAATCTCGTCTCGTATCACAATATCAATGTTATTAATTTGTTGCCCAGCCCGAGTGTCAATATATTCATAAAACTTCAATTAATAGCCCAGGCTATTGTTAAATCACTGAACCCAACAGGCCTGTATTTGGGACAGGCCTTCAATTCTGATCACACAAAACTGTTGCTCAGCAAAGATCAGGAAATACAATCAAACTGTTTATTAGGCTTCAGATAACATATCAATTATAAATCATCAATCAGAGAGGATTACCGCACGGCACACCGACACAACATCACACCGACACAACATCACTTTATCCTGTTAAAACAATCCTCACAACTTGGATTAATTTTAATGAAAAACCCTTTTGATTCCTCTGATCTGAGGACCCTTACAGACTGAAGGAATGTGAAAAACTTTACAGGGTAATAAAATAATAGACACATAATCTGAGGTAGCCAACAACCCGGTTTTATACATCTGAATGGTAAGCAGACCAGGCCTCTAATTAGGCCCGTTTCCACCGCAGGAACTTCGGGGTAATTTTACGGGGCCGGGGCCGTTGGTGTGTGTCTCCACCGCAGGAACCACCCCCGAAGGACAGAGTTCCAGAACTTTTACAGGGCTAAACAAGTCCCTGCCTCGGAGTAGGTACTCAGAACGGCCCCGAGAAACTCCTGGCTGGGGCTTGGGGTTTACTTGGTGCTGATTGGATATACTCGAGGCGGGATGTGATGTCAACAGAAAGTGACAAAATAGCCGGCATTTGCTGCGTCGCCCCGGTAAATGGTTGCGCAATGATTATGTCACATTCAGAGCCCAGTAACTTTACAGGAACCTTCCTCCTACTCTGCCCTCTCAGTGGAGACACGGCGGTTGAGAGGGCCGAGTGAGAGGATGTTCCTGTAAAGTTCCTGCCCCCCAAATAGTACCAGGAACTTCTTCAGTGGAAACGGGCCTATTGAGACAGGCCTTTATTTGTCAAAATGTGGAGCCACAACAGGCTAGTAAAAGAGATTTGGCATTGAACTGGGACCAGGCTTTTAATTGAAGTTGATTAAAGTGATTTTTAACTGCGTTATTATTGCATGTTTAACTTTCTTGTGTTTTCTGTATTTGTTGTTTTTATCCTGTTTTATTTGCTTTGTCTTTTATTCGGTTCTGTAAAGCACTTTTTAACTGCGTTTTGAAAGGTGCTATACAAAGATAGTTTATTATCAGTAAATCAATGCGTCCTGTAGGTAAAAAGATGCAGTTTATTAATTCAGTGTCACTTAATGCAGCCTCTACACCTCCAAACCCCGCGTAACTATCTGCATTATCACTTGACAAAACTCAAAATGCACAGTGAGGCTGGCAGCAGAGGAGTCAGTAAAAACCCGCTCTACTCTGCCTACATAACATGTTGCTTTAGAGCCCAATGTATTTCAACCGTAAGACAATAAATAACTGCAGATTTTTTTTTTTAATTTCCATTTTGATGCATTTTGGTTTTACACTGGGCCTTTCTGTTGAGTTCATATTAGAATGAAGTATAATGTTTGCTCCACTCGCTCCTGCTGGATCATCAGACTTTTTAATGTTCTCAAAATACCAGCAGCAGACTGACGTGTGTGTATAAATACATCATCTTTGCTACTTTGAGTTTGACTGTAAACAGACCGAAGCTACAGTGTGTGTGTGTGTGTGTGTGTGTGTGTGTGTGTGTGTGTGTGTGTGTGTGTGTGTGTACACGGAGGACTCACTCTCCAGTTCTTCCGTCTCAAATTTGGTGTAGCTGGTGGAGCTGGTCTTGCCCCGGTCCAACACCGCCTCCTCATCGTTCCCCTGCAGCACACACAAGAAAAAAAAAACATAATGGAGATGAACGTGTTAATAAGAGAAGGTGTTTTGATTTGACAAGAAGCAGCTCTCATCCTCAGACACACTGAACTGACGGTGACCTGCTGTGGGTTTCATAATGTTCCACTGACCTGTAAACACGGACACAGACAGCGACTACGTGTGGGTTTGAACTATGGTGGTTTCAAACTAAAAACAAAACAGCTTCACAGCGGGGTCTGGTCAAACGCTTCTATACTCCGTGCAACACAAGAAATGAGTCCACTGTTAGAGATTTTGCAACCGTTACAATTACATACAGTTCCCCAAAACATTCATGAAATATTCACAAGGTTGTCGGTTCGACCCCCAGCTGCTCCTGTCCACATGTCAAAGTGTCCTTCAGTGAGACACTGAACCCTGATCTGACCCCGGTGTGTCACCTCTGACAAGAGCATCTACTAAATGAATCTAACATCACAAATTTAACTCAATTAAACTGTTTGTTTTTCTCAACTGTGCAGCTGCTGCAAAGTCTGCCTGGCTCCGCCTGCAGCCGTGACTCATTACACTGTCAATGCTGATGTCAACAGGAAGTGCTCTGACAGCTGGACATCAGGATCCGTCGGCAGCTGGATGGACCGAGAGACTGAGCTAATCAAATAAACATGATGAGAGTGAAGTGAAGCTCAGAAGTGAGCAGGACAACACGCAGACTGCAGGTCGCACACACACACACACACACTAAGAGAGCTGCGGTGCTCGGGTGTGTGCGGTGTGTCAGACAGGAAGTGCAGCTCCATGCTGGTTGGTTATAACTCTGCTGTGACTCTGAGCTCACAGCCTGCTGTCTGTTTGTACAGCAGCATGCTGACAGATAGCTCAGACACACACACACACACACACACACACACACACACACACACACACACACAGGAAGGCTTAAAGACACAGTCCCACCTCTGAACCTCCACTGCACAGACACATCTGACATCACACATGTAAACCAGAGCTGCAGCAGTGTCAGACATCAACCAACATTTGCTTTTTTTCTTAAATGTGAGTTTGATGTTTTTTTATGTCGAACATGATGATAAACTGAACAGCTGGTTTGTCTCATATCATCTCGTTGACGATCAGAGGGAACTCATTCAGCGGCTCCTCTGGCAGCAGCACAGTGTCATTATAGATCATTTTTCTTTAGTTTTTACTGAATATTTGAAGCAAACTGTAAAACTACATCATTTATTTTGATGTAACTATATGTTCTTAAATGAATCATTAAATCTATTTTTACTAATTTGTCACATCGTCAAGAATATTGTTATCGCAAAAATACCCTGAAATATCATGGGATCATTTTAGAGCCATGTCGCCCACCCCTACTGAGCAGTTTTGGACAGATAAAACAGACCATTTGGAAGTGATCTGAACTCTCCAATCAACTCAGGAGAATTGTGAAATTCAGCTAAAATAAATTGGAAAAAGGGAAATGACAGCAATTACCAAAAATGTGAACACATCACTTTGGGCTCTGGGAAATTCCACAGAAGGTCAGGTTTCACTATCTTCTCATATTTTACTGACAAAATGATCAAACTGAGAAAATAATGGGCAGATTAATGGAAAATGAAAATGACTGTTAGTTGCAGCCCTGATGTTAAACCTTCACCACAGCTGTATACACCAGTTTCATCCAGTTAAACACACCACTGCACAGCTTAAACCACGACAACACAAGTTTAACAAAGTGAACTGTAAACAGATGGCTGTGACTCAGAATTCAGAACCCAGGAGATCATTCAGAGACAATCACAACTCAACATCCTGCATGCAGTCTGTTTCATCATGATGTCACCAACCTCTCTGTGCAGACTTCACCAGTGAAATTATAAAAGCATCACAATAAACTGTATTTGTAATGACTTGTGTTTGAATTGATGCTGCAACACGTTCCAAGAAATGTTGGGACAGAGGCAACAAACAACTGAGGAAGTTGCTGAATGTTCGAAAAGCACCTGTTTGGAACATTTCACAGGTAAACAGGTCGAAAAATTAAGGCGTCATTCCTGGGTACAAAGGGGCATGGTTGAAAGGCTCATATGTTCACAAGCAAGGATGTCACTCTGTGAAAAACTATGTGAGCAAACAGTCCAAAAGTTTAAAAACAATTGTCAATGCACAGTTGGAAGGCACATAATGATTTCACCACCTACAATCCATAATAACGTCAAATGATTCAAAGAATCTGCAGAAATCTGCACGTAAGGGCCAAAGCTGGAAACAAACACTGAATGTCCATGACCTTTGACCCCTCAGGTAGCACTGTATCAAAAACTGACATGACTGCATAAAGGATATTACTATATGGGCTCAAGAACACTTTGGAAAACCACTGTCAGTAAACACATCGCTGCATCTACCAATGACAGTTCAGACTCTACCAGGCTCCGCCCACTTCTCTGAGCCCGAGCTCATCTAAGATGGACCGACACAAAGTGGTCTGATCGGTCCATCATGGACGTCCTGTTACCAGCTCAAAGTTCAAAGCCAGCATGTGTGATGGGATGGAGGTGCATCATGGGTAACTTCACGTCTGTGAAGGCTCCATGAATGCTGGAAGGTACACACAGGTTTTGGAGCATCATATGCTGCCATCCAGACGACGTCTTTCTCAGGGACGTCCCGTCTTATTCCAGCGAGACGATGAGACACACTGTGACGTGTTCCAACAGCGTGGCTTCGTAGTGACAGAGTGCAGGTACCAGACTGACCTGCCTGCAGTCCACACCTGTCTCCCACTGAACGTGTGTAGAACATGATGAAGCACAACATATGACAGCAACGTCGGATATCAAACAGGAAATACTCCAACAGTCAGGTTGTTTAAAGAAGAGGTGATGTCACACAGTGGTAAACATGCTCCTGTCCCAGCTACTTTGGAAACATGTTGCAGAGATCATATTCAGAATGAGTTTATATTTATAAAAAACAATGAAGTTTATCAGTTTGAACATTAATATCTTGTCTTTGTGCTGCGTTCAACTGCATATAAGTAAATAAAAGGATTTGTAAGAGACTGAATTATGTTTTTATTTACATTTTACAGTGTCCCAACTTTTTGGGATTTGGGTTGTTTATATGTTTATACAACGGTCTGAGATTTTCACGGTAAGATAACCATCTCAGAAAATAACCCGTTCCACAGTATCACGGTATTAAAGAATTATTATTATAAGTCAAAATGAGCCTTAAAGGAATGAAAATAGAGCGGCTATTCTTTGTTGAACAAACATTTTATTACTATGAGGGAAACTTGAAAACATTTTTTTTTAAAAATGGAACTTTACGCAAAAAGTAAAATAAAGTTGAAATTCTCCATCCAGTTGCATTTTTAAAAAAAATCAGTGATAAGCAAATGGACATGATATGATAATCATCAATATCACGATATACCGCTGCAACCCTAAAAATAGAGCTGCAAGATATGACGATATATGGGATAACATGGTTTAATATTGCAATAATATTACTCGCACTACATGAACAGATATTATAGTGTGCTCTGTTCTGCCTTTCTGCTGCTCTCAGCATTGGGCGAAAATACAACTAATGCTTGTGGAAATAAAAAAAAAATAAAGGAAATTTAATTAAATAAATTAAAACTTAATTTAAATCTAAATGAAATTTCCAACATTCTTTTATTAAACTAATTGAACTGAACACAAAAGGCATCAATAAAACAAATAATGATAGTTATGCTCTCTTTCAATTTACTCAAAAATCCCTGACCGCCATATCTCGGTCTTTTGCAATGTGTTTATCACACAAGTTGACATCACAATGACATTTTCTAAAAAGGGTTTATTGTGCCGCCCTGGTTACGGCTCCCATTATATCTGTGATGAGCTAATATCTGCAGAAAGATCGATCCGCCCGGTTTAATCGGTCAGACTCTCGCTGAAGGCTTTTAAAGCCACTAAGTGGACCTTGACCTTATTTCATTACACATAATGATGCCAAGAATAAACTTCACCTCTCAGGCAGTGACAACTATCCTCTTCCAAATCCTGTTGTCGAGTTCTTGACTCCCTGTGCAAACTTTCCCACTTAAAGTGACTTTGTATTTGATACGCAGGCAGCTAATTAATGATGTCATTACAGCGGTGATGGAAGCGTGGTGTGTGTTGCATTCCTGCCCTTCAGAAGGTAATCAAACTGTCAAACAAAAGATGTGAGGAGGAAACAGCGTCCAGCTCGTCTGTGCCAGACGGCCTTTCAGCCCCGATGGGAAGCACCGCCTGGCGCTTTGTGCCGATGTAGTGAAAGCGTAGATGAGCCAATATCCAGGCCAAATAAACTGTGAGTGACGTGATCCGTGCGCTTCATCGAGGTTTGATAAGGATTTCACAGTCCCACTGGTGGTATCACACAGCTCAGAGGATTCCTTCCATCCTGTCATCGCATCATTTGTTATTATATCAACCAAACGCTGTGCCGACCAACCGACACCCCCCCCCGGGAGTAACTGCAGCCACATGACCCCCCAGGTTTTCTATGAACTTGTTTGTCCTTCTCAGATATAAATCCCATCAGGAGCAACGTCCCTGTAGTTCAAAGTGGATCTCTGAGTTTTTTCCTTCTGCTGCATTTTATCAGTTCACTGTGAAATCTGACTTTAGTGTGAAAATGGAGGACGGCAAAATGTTGCCTCTTTTTCCTGTGATTTCTCAGTGGATTTCTGGACGATTATTCTGGATGGACATCAGAGATACTGATATCTTCAGGTAGTGTAAGTCTCACTAAATGATCTCAATGTGTTTTATGTCTGAATGTTCACATTTTACTGAGTTACACTGTGCCTGAGCACGTCTGCCCCCCGACTCTCACACCGCTGATATTAGTGGATATCGCTAATACTGTTTTGTACAGTTGCGTCATCATTTACTTGACTTTTGCTTAAGTTGTTGCTGCAGTGTAGAAAAGCTCGCCAATCACATGATCTG